CTTTAGCGTGAATTCTTTGCTGTGTGAAGCCAAGAATCGAGGTATTTCCCACCCGAGAAATCTAACAGTTCCTCACAACAACAGTTATAAGAGTGAAAAATTAGAAGCTCCTAAATATTTGACGATAGGGGAATGGTTATATATATACATATTATAAAGTGATTAGGATGTTTTCAAATACGGTGTGATGATAAAAATGCTAGGGAAAAAATCAATATAACAAAAGTATATTTATTAGAACAAAACTCAAATTCTTAAAGAGTCCAGATCTGGCTGAGATTAGAGGATTTTTGAGACTTTGGATTTGAGCTCATCTTCAAACCTCGAACTTCCTCTTTACCTAATTAACAGATTAATAAAGAATATCACCCAAGAGTTCTGTGCTCCTTTAAAATAAATCATCTACCAGCTGGTCAACAATAAAGCAAAGGTGAGAAGGTAAGGGGCCAGGGAAACTGGAGTACTGGAAATGGAACAACCAGAATGATAATAGCAAGAATGTCACGACCCATTGTGAAATACACAATCAATATCACTGAGCAATTTGTGTACACATTGTTAAATGAGAACCTAATTTGCCGTGTAAACTTCCACCAAAAACACAATAAAGTTTCGTTATAACTCTGATGTAGTTTGTCATTGTGGGTAGCCTTCTTGAATCTTTGTTATGTGTTGTCACTTTTTCGGTATACGATGAAATCCAGGATTGATGAACCTACAGAGACAACATGCAGAATCAAGGTTCCTGGGGGGTACAGTGGGGGAGGGGGTGGTAAAGGAGAACTGACATCAAGGCGTTCAAGAAGGAAGCGAAAATTTGGAAATGGATTGTGGTAGCAATTGTACAATACTGTTTGATGTGATTGAATTATGGAATGGTAGGATATCTGTATTCGCTTCCAATAAAATGGTTTTGAAGGAAAAAAGTATTATTTTTTTTTAAAAAACTATATAGTTACATTCTAGTGATGTTTTTAAAAATACATGCACGGGGCAAAAAGACTAGACAGAAATAACATCAAACATTAATAGTGATTGCTTATCTTGGTGATGGGGTTTTGGGTGATTTGTTTTATATAAATAGTTTTTATTGGGGGCTCTTACAGCTCTTTTAACAATCCCTTAATCAATTGTATCAAGCATGTTGTGGGTGATTTTTTAAAAAATCTTAAGTTTCTATACTTTTCCAGGTTTCAATAATGAATATGTATTATGTTGACTATCCTTTTGTAAAGCACAGTGCAGGTATCACAGGAAGGGGCTGCTTGCCTCTTTTCTCTCTAAGCTTTCTAAATGTTTAAAGTGAGGAAAGGACCTCTTCTGAGATGGTCTAGTTCAGTGGTTCTCAATCCCTTCAGACCCAGCCCTCACTCAGTCATACATACACAACAGACAATATTATGTAGGACACCCTTTAGCACCCTAAATTAAATTTCATAGTTACTATAGCCTGTTCATATATATGATTTCTAGAGTAGAAATATAATGTACTAATTATAATGTAGAAGAGAAATAAAAGGGAGAGGAAAGTAATGTATAATACTGCCAGTACTCTGGGAGTTTATCAGACAGATGGTGGGAGTTTGCACGCTGCTGGGATGATGGAAGCCATGGTCCCAGTATGTCAAATACCAGCAGGGTCCCCGACTAATAACAGATACAGAAGATGGGTCTGGTGATCTACTTCTGAGAATTAGTCATCAAAAACCTTATGGATCACAGCAGAACAGGGTCCTACTCACTTTCTTTGGGCAGGTCATCAGGTGGGATCCTTCGGCAGAGAACATCTTGTGTGTTGAAGTCAAGGGCCATTGAGGATGAGGGCAATCCTTGGTAGATAGATTGGCACATTATCAGCAATGATGGGCCCCCATATATGCTGGTGCTGGTCAAGAGGATGGCGGAGGACCGGGCACCAATTCATTTTGTTGTACATAAGCCTGCCTTAATCAGAGCCAACCATCTCTAGCTATCTAATTTGTAATTGGGTAAGAAGTATTTCAATATGCAAATACCCAGGCAAGACTAGACTTAAACACATAAGCATACGGTAGTCAGACATTTTCGCTGATGTGTGGAATCTCTAGCAAGGCTACAAATGAAGACTAATGCAGGTGTGTTGGATTGACTACTTAAATATGCCCGAATGACATGATTTTCAAAAGTTGTGACCAACTCTTGGTAAAGTTCTGAAAAAAAATAACGTTCTACCTTCCCTTAATTTGCATAGCTGTTACCTTCCTGGAAATTCGTTGTGCGTACTCAAAATATAAAAATGTTGTTGCCCGTTTTTAGAGAGTCCATTCTGGCTCCTGGAGGCCTTATGGGTGTCAAAGTAGACTGCGCTCCCTGGGGCTTGCAGAGGCTGGTGGTGGGCCTTTCATCCAGGGCACCTCTGCGTGGACCCGAACTTTTGATTAACAGGTGAGCATATTAGCTGCTTACACCACCAGCTAATTATCCCAGGGTTGACCACCTGTATTACTAGCCTATGGAACAGTCAAAAGGTTTACAGGTGTAGATTTCTAGTTCATTATTTTAGAGGCTTAGCCAAAAAGAGGAACCCTTCAAGGAGATGGCATGGCATGGTGGCACAAACACAACAACAATTGTGAGGATGCCACAGGACTGGGCAGTGCTTCCTTCTGTTGTGAGTCCCAGTCCACTCGACGGTACCGAACAACAAAGCAGCAATAATTCTCGTTTTACCTTTACCCAACGCAGGAAATCCACCAGGGCCTTCTTTGTTTCTGTGTTTTTACCTTGTGTGTGTATGTGTGTGCTCTTGCAAAGGGGGCTTGCCTCCTTTGAAATGAATGCTGGTCACAGGCTTAGCCTCCGACCCTCTTCCTAAAGCCTAACCCCTAAGAACAGCAAGGGATTCCTAGACCGTCTTCTCAAAACGGATGCAAACACTTTGTGAATCATTAGAGACCTAGCTCTTCTTTAGTCATGCCAAGGCACGAAAACAAATTACCATTTATTTTGAAAGCCAGTTACTGTCATCCCTTGGGGATTCCCTCACTACTCTTGCCTTGGCCCCAGCCTCAGGAGGACAAAATGAACTGAACTAGAAGAAAGGGCCTAAGAAGGCCAGTCTAGGGGGAGAGGGAGGGGAGCTAGGTTGCTAGGTTACCGCTTTAGCCAATCAAGTGCTCCCAGAGGGGTACCAGATACAGGACAGGTCGCCCTCCCTCTTGCTTTGCCCCAGTAAATTAAGGGATCTCAAAGACTGGGAGGGTGGTATCACAAGAGGGGGGAGGGGCAGAACACACACCAGGCACAAGTCAAGAAACGAGGCTAAAGCACAAAGAAACTGCCATCCCTATATTTCTAAAGCCATTCAAGTCTTCGTGAATTGGCTTTCCCCACAAATGAAAGATGTCTTTATTAAGAAATACCGGAGAGTGGGGGGAGGGGAGTGCGATGTGTACACATTGGTAGACTCACACACAAAGGCAGAGATTTACATAGTAAATTGCATTTATGTTAGAAAATAGATTTAAAAATCAAATACCACCCCCACCCCACCCCCGACCCCCAACAAGATAAAGGGATTGGGTCAGTTGGAAAAAAGGGGCCATGGGGGGGAAGGCAGGAAGTCGACAATGGGAAGAATGGAATTTCGCTGCTATCCAATCAGAAACCCCCTCGGCTCCGGGGCAGAGAACACAGGGAACAAGATGATGACCTCAGCCAGGGCCAGGGACATAAAGAACTGGCCCCAAATAGCCAACTTCCACCCTCTCCCAGAGAGTTTGGATCAGCGCCCACCATCCTGGCCTGGGGAAGTGGGGGGCACAGGAATCTTGAGGAAAGGGGAGGAAGAGGAGAATTGGAAAGAGTGTCAGCCATTGAAAAGACTGAACAATTTACAGCCTCCTCCTGTGGGAGAAATCAATTCTTCACTCTCCCCTCTGACCAAGACTCTGAATACGACCAGGGGCCGTCTCAGTTGGTTTGTAGCATGAATGAGACGGGTTTTCTAGTCAAAGTCTTCAGACATTGTGGATTTATCAAGGAAAAGAACGACTAGGGAGCATGAAAACCCAGACACTAATAAGAATCATCATCGTAATTTCCCACTAGAAAGAAGGGATTTTCATGTTTGTCCCTCACCTCTGAAAAGCTGTGCAGGAGCATGGCTGAGGTAAGCAGAAGGAAGTCAGTCCAGCCTAACCCAGGGGAATAGAAGGCGTGAGGCAGGCTGGGCTAAAAGGATTCGTTCACAGGAGGGGCAGGTCACCTAGAAAACGCTAGTCACTTCCCAACTCTCCAAGTCTGGCCTTAGTTTGAACTAGTCGAAACCTAACGACAGGAACAAACTGAGGGAGACCGATTTTGTAAAGGCAACGTTGACACAGTTAGGAGAGTACTCTGCATCTCTATCTATCTATCTATCTATCTATCTATCTATCTATCTATCTATCTATCTATCTTTCCTCACAAGGGAAGGATTGTTCTGTTCCAATCCTGCTCTGAAGAGAATGTACGTGGGAGCCATAAATGTCATAAATTCCGATCTCCGAATGGAAGGGTGAGATGGGAAATGGCCAGGAACCTGAATGATAAACTATTTAAAAAGAGCTAAGTATCATCTCTGGAAAAAGATCGTGAACAAAACCACACCCAAAGGAAGGCCTTGGTGTGCCTTGCTTTCTCGGTCAAGACTCCTTTGCAATGAACGGCATCTCTCTGCGTAAAAACAATACTCTAAAAAAGGGTCAGTGTTCTGGTCAGTGGAATAAATATAGCCCTCGCCTGCCCATTTTATTAGCACCGTATGCTGCCTTGAAAAGCCCTTTCTTCATTAGCCCAGATCCAGATAAAACTTGAGCCCAGAAATGGAATGTAGACCAATGGAGATTTTGCAAACTCGCCTGCCGTTTCCCTGGAAAAAATTGATGGCCAGAAAAAAAACAACCTCTTTCAATGCCCACCCCACCCCTACTCCCACCTGCCCCACTCCCCCTACACCAACACAACCCTCCCATGGGGGTTCTAGACATGGAAGGGGAGGGAAGGAGGAGGCAGGCAGTTTGCATTAGACACAGTTTAATCGCCTTTAAATAGATTAAAAGTTCTGGTGTACACTCCCCTCCCCCCTCCCCAGAAGTCATCCAGATAAGACCCTGGCTTAGAAAGAGAAAAACACAGGTGCTCTAGGAAATATAGCCACATATAATACATAAATCTTCTTCCCTGAAATAGAGCAGGTCCTGAGCAGAGCTGATGGGGGCCACAGCCCACCCCCAGGGTGAAGTGGCTCTGGGACGCTGCCGGTGGAAGGGCTGGAAGAGCGGGGCGGGGCTTGGAGGAAGGCCGGGGCGGTCACCGTGGCCTGCTCGGTGTGGGCACGGGCACGGGCGCGGGCGCGGGCTGAGGCCTGGGAGTGGGTCACCCGGGAGGGCAGCAGTGCTGGGCTTTCCCTCCTCACTCAGCCTAGGCTTAATGGAAGTATTGGTTATCTTTTTTAATTATTATTATTTTCTTTTCTGAGGGGACGTAGGGGGAGAGGAGAGGAGAGCCTCTCTGTGCCTTGGTTTCCCCAGTTGTGCATCTGGGCCTCTGCAGACCTCACACAGGGCGTCTGAGGGGGTAGTGTTTTAAGTGAGCACTTGGGCTTCCTCTGAGGACACGAAACCCCCCAAGTGCAGACTTTTATTACTGCCATTACAGCTCCTAATGGGGAGCAAGAGTCCAAAGGATAAAAACATTTAAAGGGGCTAATGAGAATGGAAGAGAGAGAAGACAGAGAGTGGGTGGGGCGATGCCATTGGCATCTCGTCGATTCTTACTGAGAATGGCACAGGTCTTAAATAAACGGTTCCAGGCAGCAACGAGAACGTAAATTGTTCTCTCTACTGCAACTATGTAGTGACGTCTAATTGGGAAGGGGAGAAGCTGGGAGAGTGGGAGCGGGACAGAGGGGTAGCTACGTGAGTAAATACAACAAGTGGAAGACAACTGCCCCATGCCTAGGTTCAGCTGGCCATGTTGGCACTTGAGTAGCCGGGAGACTCCTCCAACCCCACTCTTCATCTTCTTCAATTCTGAAGGCCCTGAGGAGCCGTGATTGCCTCTGGACTCATGACATGCGACAGCTTGAAAGGATTTTCGCCCATCTCAGGACCCTTCAACCCCAGGATCAGATCAATGGTGCGGAGCAAGAGAGCTGGGGTTTAGAAGGATGAGAGGGCAGTCCACGGGAACTCCCTGACTGAAGCCATGGTCTCCCATTGCCAGCCTCAGGAGACCCACGTGTCCAATTACCAGCGATGGCTGGCATCTTCTGCCACTGTCTTGAGTCCAGGAGATTAAAAACCAAAATTAAAAAAAGAGTAAAAAAAAAGCTTGCAGCAAGAACAGACCAGTGTGCAATTGGGTGGAGAAAGACCAAAGGAAAACAATAAAAGGGAGCTTACTTGCTCTCTGTCTCGGGTTTATCTTCTCCCCTTAAATCTCTCATAGCCCTAATTAAACACAAACAAAAGTCTCTTCCACAAATAGACTACTTCTCAGCTTCCGCCACCTCCTGGGGCGGCTCGGGTGGTTCTGGGGGCGGCATCTCTTCAGGAGTGCTGCTCTCCTCCGGCATGTCATTAGAGCTCAGGTGTTCTGTCGGGACCTGAGAGAGAAAAGAGAGCAAATGCATTACACAGATGGATATCATCCAGAAACCCTGGATTCTCCCTTGAAGCCCATTGACCACACTGATACTACAGAGACGCTACTAGCACTAAACAGCACGACTCACGAAATGTAGTCACGCGCCACGCTTACCTATCTTTTGTGGATGGATATTTCCATTATTCTTCCATTATCATTCATGATACTAATAATAGGAGCCACGAATATCTGCAAACCAGATAGCTGATAGGGGCATCGCATATGGAATATATAGAAAACTCTGATAACTCAATCTAACAAGACAACCCAACTGAATCATGGGACAAAGGAGCATTTGGCCCAAATGCCCATCAGGAGAAGAATGGATAAAGGCAGTATGGTGCATACACACGATGAAATACTACACATCGCCTCAAAATAATGATGCAGCCACAAAGTACCTCATGACATGGACGGAGCGGGAGAACATTATGCCGGGTGAGGTAAGTCCATCACCAAAGGATAAACACTGTATGAGACCACTGCTCTAAGGATGAAAACCAAGACAAAGTCTTCCGTACCCAAGGGAACAGACTTTGGAGGTTGCCAAGGGGAGGAGAATAAGGGAGGGGGAGGGGTAAGGTAGAACACTGCGGGTGTGGGTGTGGGTGTGATAAGTGGTTTGGCCTGTTGAATACAGAAATGATGGTCTGCAGTAACGCACACACACCTCCCCCACACACACCTAACTCATAATAAAATAAATAAACAAAGATATCACAGCTAAAAAGAAAAAGACAGGCAAAAAGCCAATGAGTACATGAAGAGATGCTCAACCTCATGACTCACGAGAGAAACTGTAATGAGCTAACCCTTCACACGCACCAGGATAGCTACAGTTTTCAAACGAAATAAAAATGAATGCAAGTGTTGGCCAGGCGCTTGGGAAAGTGGATCCCTCACACAGTGCTGGCAGATCTGGAAAGGTATAATGGCTCTTTGGTGTATAGGCTGGCAGGTCCTCGGATGGTTAAACATCCAGCTACCATCCAACCCATCCGTGATCCTCCCAGGGATCAAGCCAAGAGAAATGGCAACATATGCCCACACAAAAACTGGAACACAAATGTTTATAGCAGAAGCATTCATCATGGCTCAAATGTAGAAACCACTCAAATATCCATCGACTGGTGAGTGGGTAAAGAAACTGTAGTATAGCAACACAACAGAATGCTTGGCCATAGAAAGAAACGAAGTCCGGAAACATGCTACAGTTTCACATAGGAATGAACCTATGTGAAAGCAGCCAGTCCTAACAGACTCTATATTGTATGATCTCATTTAGGTGAAATGCCCAGGAGAGGAAATGTAGAGATGGAAATTTGATTAGTGGTAACCTAAGAGTTTGCAGGGAGGGCGGGGTGGGAAAGGAGTCGAAGAAAGTGAGAGGAAACACAGAAGTGATTAGTAGTAGGTACTGAGATTTGGGGAGAAATAATGGAAATATTTTAAAATCATTGTGATGATCATACAACTCAGTGGATATTCTAAACACCAGTGGATAGAATTGTTTAAATTGGTGATTTGTAGATTAGGGGACATCCATCTCAATAAAACCAAACTCATGGCCATCGAGTAGATGCTGACTCAGAGCAACCCTATAGGACAGGGTAGAACCACTCTTGAGAGTTTCCAATTCTATAACTTTTTTTTCTTTTAAATCATTTTATTGTGGCTCATACAAGTCTTATCACAATCCATACATACATCAATTGTGTAAAGCACACTTATACATTTATTGCCCTCATTGTTCCCAAAATTCGCTTTCCACTTGGGTTCTTAGAATCAGTTCCTCATTTTCCTTTTTCCCTTCCTCTTCCCTTCCCACTCCCCCCTCCCTCATGAACCCTTAATAATTTATAAATTATTATTTTATCTTATCTTACACTGCCCGGCATCTCCCTTCACCCACCCTTCTGTTGCCCATCCCCCAGAGAGGAGGTTATATGTAGATCCTTGTAATCGATTCCCCCTTTCTACCGCCCCCTTCCCTCCTGGTATCGCCACTCTCACTGCTGGTCCTGAGGGGTTCATCTGCCCTAGATTCCCTGTGTTTCCAGTTCCCATCTGTACCGCTGTGCATCCTCTGGTCTAACTAGGTTTGCAAGGCAGAACTGGGATCATGAATCTATAACTTTTTACGGGAGTTGACGGCCTCATCTTTCTCCCGAGGAGCAGCTGGTGGTTTCAAACTGCTGAACTTGCGGATCGCAGCCCAGCACACAACCACGACACCACCAGAGTTCCTTCTCAATAAGGCTATTATAAAAATGAAAGCTCCAGTGGTAACTTTTAGGAACATGCCTACTTTATAAAGTATATCTTGGGCAAGCTAACTGGTAGAGTTTCCACCACACCTGCAGTATTCCAGTAAGGCTCCAGAGCCCCTTCTACAGAAGTCAACCTCTCACTAACTCCAACATGATCCCTTGACCTTACTCTTAGCTCATAGAGCATTTTATGCCTTTCCTTATCAGGGCACTTTCCCCAACACTGAGCAAAGACCTATTTTCCTATCTCTTGCCCTCCTGCCCTACCCCACCCACCCTGCCCACCACTTCAGACAATGAGCTCCTGGGACATGATTTGTCTTGTTCACTGATGTCTCCCTAGTATGTAACACAGTGGCTGTCCCAATATATGTTGACCTCAAGGGTAGAAAGAGCCGAAGACCCATGTCAAAGCATTAGTGGAGACAAGGACGCTGGGTGGCTGCGATACAGATTTGTCCGTTAGGTTTGGAAGCTGTAAATTTTGCCGACACCAACTCTTAACACTGACCCAGTCTGGAACTCAGGAATACTTACTGGGCTCTGTGGCAATAGGCTGCTACTGGTCTCTTGGGTACTGGGAGGCCGGCTTCCACTTTCCTCCAGTGGCAAAATACCCCTTCGGTCCAGCACACTGAAAGGCCAGGAGACAGGAGAGTTTATAATGCACTGAGCAGTCATCCTGCCCCTCATTCCCCACCCCACTGACTCCTGCTGTGTAGATCAGAAAGCAGAAGCCTGTCCTTTGGCAGGGGCTATCGCACTAACAAGAGAACAAACCAATGAAATGGTCTGTGGCATGTAAATATGGCACCAAGGGTCAATCCCTGGGAAGACCTATTTGACAGGAAGAGGCCACCTTGAAGAATGCCTTAGATCAGGTCAGGGGGTCCAGTTGAGTTACTCAGCCTAAGAGTTCATGACCTCCTGGTCCCCTGGGTACCTGGGGGGCAAGGGGCCACAGAGAACTTCACAGCAGTTCTTCACGATGTTGCCATGGCTGTAGGGATTCTGGACACGATTCTTCCCTGTCCACGAACCTTTGATCTGCAAGACAGAATCCAAGACTCCCATTAAAATGTATGGTAAAGAAATAACAGGGAAGGTGGGGGAAGAAGGGGGAGAAACAGGGAACCAACCACAATGATTGACGCTCCAAGGAGCGAACAACAGAAACGTGGGTAAAGGGAGACGGCAGATGGTGTCAGACATGAAAATAATAATAATTTATAATTTATCAGGGATTTATGAGGTTGAGAGGATGGGAGAGGGAAAAAAGAGGAGTCGATATCAAGGGCTCAAACAGAAAGAAAATGTTTTGAAAAGGATGATGGCAACATATGTACAAATGTGTTGGATACAATTGGTGTATGGATTGTTATGAGTGTAAGAGCCCCTAATAAAATGATTTATCAATTTTAAAAATATGTTAAAGAACTATTGTATAGACATTTAAAAATGTTTATAATAGGATGGATGGGGAAAAGTAGGTTATATTTAGTATTTTTATCTAAAAAATATTTAATACATAATATCTACAAGATGGAGCCTTGATGGCGCAATCCAAAAAGTCAGCAGTTCGAAACCACCATCTTCTCAGGAGACAGACAGAGCTTTCTACTCCACTAAACAGTTACAGTCAGTCTTGAAAATTCAAAGGGGGCAGCTCTATCCTATGGGGTCGCTGTGAGTCAGCATCGACTGCTCTCTCGGGTGTGTCGGAATTGACTTGATGGCAGTGCGTATTTGGTTTTGATTAAGAGATAAAAGAAAATGTTTTGAGAAACGATGTACAAATGTGCTTTACACAATTGATGTGTGTATGGATTGGGATAACAGTTGTATGAGCCCCTAATAAAATGTTAAAAAAAAAAAAGTTGGATGGATATATTCTCTCAGTTTTGTTCATTTGTATTTTCTCATTTTCTACAAAGGACATGGATTTACTGGTAATTCTTAGAGAGCAAAGGTTTACTCAGTATAACTCTGCCTCTGTTCCCAAACCAGAAGCCCCAGCTAGCTTGTAAGGACCCTACAATAAGGTGACCAGATTTTAACACTGGTAAAGCGGGACAAAAGCGGGACACCATTGATAAAACTCATATCCTGGCGAAATAGCCACATGGCAGCCGAAAACCATATACCCTAGCTTGTCGTGTATTCTTTCCAAAAATCGGGACATTTAAAAATGCCGCGGGACACGGGAAAATTGTTAAAAATCGGGACTCTCCCGCCAAAAGCGGGATGTCTGGTCACCTTACAACTGAAGAACTTGTACCCACCCAACTTCTCGGTCTTTTTCCTAAACTTGATCTTAGCCAAAAGACCAAGAAGCGATTCAATCTTTATCCTAACACCCTGCAGGCCATCAGCCCCAAACAGGCCCTGGATTCCGTTCTCTAGCAGGTCACGACAGAAACCGGCTTTCTGAAGGAGAGGAATGGGTGGTGAGGGAAGGACAAAGGCACTTACATCTTCATTGGTTGTCTGGTTGAGAGCCACGAGGAAAGTGTGAAACCCAGTCAGGCCCACGACAGACCAGAGTGTGAAGAAGCAAATGAGTACTTCCAGAACAGTGAGTGGTGTTAAGGAATGTTGAAGGAGCCACACTAGGGGACTCAAGTGCTTCAGTTCATACTGGTCACACCATGTTTACGTCTTGGAACAAATGTCACAAATGGACAAGCATCCATCTCCACAGGATTCCTAGTCTATTCACTACCAGCAGATCACCAGCACCTCGAGTGCCGTGAAAGGTTTGTCTATTTAGTTATCATTAGCTTGTTGTGGGGAGCCCTGGTGGCAAAGTGGTTATGTGTTGGGCTGCTAACCACCAGGTCAGCAGTTTGAAACCACCCACCTCGCTTAGGGAGGAAAAACGAGGCTCTCTACTCCCCTGAAGAGTTAGTCTCAGAAACCCATGGGGGCAGTTCTACCCTGTCCTATGGGATCTGTATGAGTTGGCATCAACTCTGTGGCAGTAAGTTTGGATTTTTTTGTTTTCATTTGCTTATCTCGTTGTGGGGAATTTCACAGCAGATCAAAGCTAAATTTTTGTTGGTCAGTATTGCCATTGCAAAACCCATCGAAAATTAAACATTACAATATTTTTTACTGGTGGGGGGTAAAAATAGGAGGTGATGCTTAGAGATCTCATCTGAATCTCCTCTGCAGGAATGCAGCTGGCATTCTAAAGAAGCCAGAGCTGCTGCAGAAAGGTGGGGCTGCCAGAACAGGAACTAAGAGGTATATTGAGGCAAAGTTCAACCCACCAGCAGAGGTGGGGCTGAGCCTGAGATCAGCAGGACTGGGAGGGTGGACATGGAAGATGGAGTGAGAAGAAGAGCTCCCTATAAGGCCTGTCTATCTGCCACGCTGGTGGCTCCCACCAAGACTACAGGGTTTAGTTTAGACTTTGGCACAACTTTGATTATTGACAAAATTGGAAGGTTGGAGAGCTGGTAGGAGAAAGCATGCTGAAAAAGTAATTGAAGAGGGCTTCACAGGGACAGCCTTCCCAGGGAGGATATGTGCCAGGAGTTTCTTTCAACGTCTCCAGGAAGCCAATTTTCAACGATTCTGGGAGATAGAGAGGGACAGAGAGAAAAATTAGTGATTTCAGTAAAAAGTGCACATGATCCTAGTGCCTACTCCCTTCTTCCCTTCTGAACCCTTCTGAAAGGCTGGCAGAAGATAAGCTGTCACTCAGTCAAGGGACACACCCCCAAGTTGATCATCTCAAGACTAAAGAGTCCACATTTCCAATGCAGGACCAGTCCCTGGGCCACAAAGCTGAACAGAAGCCAAGTGTAGGTCCCCCTCCGTGTTCCCGAGCTCCAACCAGTTGCCATCGAACCCATTTCAACTCCTGGTGACCCCAGGCATTGCAGACCTGCAATGTTGTGACCTGCTATAGGGTTTTTGATAACGGTGACCTTTCAGAATTAGACTGACAGGCCTTTCTTCCAAGTGGATCTGAACCTCCATCTTTTAAAAAAATTAGTAACAGCCCTTGACTGAGTCACCCAGAGATGTGTATGAAGATATAGATGAGAGAAACATTTTTAAAGATGTCCAAGCAAAATCCTCCTCTCTCATCACCAATCTGTATCCCTCTCTTAAAATCCAGCTCTTCCCTGGAAACTTTTATGATGAAAGTCATTCTTTTGACTCCACATCACAAACCCTTACTTGGTTCTATGTGGGTTTGACTGTATCCCAAAGTAGTCAGTGAGCTACTGAAAGATGCTTCTCTGGTAAAACTCCATCAACTACCTAGAACAGGGCAGGTCTTGTAAGGCAGAAGAATAGAGGAGACATATAGCCAAAACACATCCCTAACTTTTGGGGTCAGCTCAGAAACACCCAGTACACTAGACCTATGATTATGATCCTAGTCCCCAGCATGGGCCAGAGAGAAAGTCAACCCATACAGTAAATGCTTACTGAGGTGGGCTGAGGTGTGGAGTCATGCTCATTCCAATTGGTCCAAAGGAATATTCACAATGGTCAAGTCCCACCAGGAAATCCAACCAACCCCCTAGGTCAAGTCTTCTCCCACTCCCACCCCGATAGCAGACACTGTCCTGCATACTCACTGAGGGCCACATAGACGATGTTGAAGGCAAAGACGTAGATTGTGAGGAGGGAGAGAGAAAGGATGAAGAGGTAGAAGTAGCGGTAGTTCCTCTTTCCAACACAATTCCCCACCCAGGGGCAGTGATGATCGAAGCGCTCTGTGGAAGACAGATTTCAGTGATAAAGGACAAAGAGCAACCCAATTATACACATAATAACCAATTCAAAGACCCCCACATCATTGTCTATATCAGTTATAACAAGTGCTTTTTTCTTTTTTTATTAAACACTTTTATTGGGGGCTCTTACATCTCTTATCACAATCCATACGTTCATCCATTGTGTCAAGCACACTTGTACAAATGTTGCCATCATCATTTTCAAAGCATTTTATTTTTACTTGAGCCCTTGCTATCTGTTCCTCATTTTCTCCCCCTTTCTCCTCCCCACACCTTCCCCTTATCCTCCTGGTATCTCCACTCTCATTGTTGGTCCTGAGGGCTTTATCTATCCTGGATTCCCCATGTTGTGGGCTCTTATCTGTAGCAGTGTACATGTTTTGGACTAGTCCGATTTGAAAGATAGAACTGAGGTCATGACAGTGGGATGTGGGGAGGAGCATTAAAGAACTAGAGGAAAGTTGTATGTTTCATCAGTGCTATACTGCACTCTGACTGGCTTGTGACCCTTCTGTAATGGAATGCCCAATTGTCTACAGATGGGCTTTGGGTCTCCACTCCATGCCCTCCCCCCACTCCGCCCCGCCGCCTTCACATTGGTATGATTTTGCTCTGAGTCTTAGATGCCTGATACCTGATCCCATTGACAACTCATGAGCACACAGGCTGGTGTGCTTCTTCCATGTGGGCTTTGTTGCTTCTCAGCTAGATAACCGCTTTTTTTTATCTTCAAGCCTTTAAGACCCCAGACGATATATCTTTTGATAGCCGGGCACCATCAGCTTTCTTCACATTTGCTTATGCACCCATTTTGACTTCACCGATTGTGTCACAGAATGCCGGATGGTTAGAACAAAGTGTTCTTGCATTGAGGGAGGACTTGAGTTGAGGCCCAATCGACTCGACTTAATTCTTAATTCCTTTGGCTACCTTAATTCTAAACATAGATATAAGTATATAGATCTATTTCTCTATCACTGTATATAAATATATTTACATATGTACATGCCTATATTTAGACCTCTATAAATGTCCTTTGCCTCCTATTTCTTACCTCTATTTCCTGTTGTCCCACTATCATGTTTGGCCTTCATTTGGGTTTAGTAATTCCTCGCTGTTACATTGCACTTGATTAAGCCCCACTAGGCATCCTACACACTTCTCTCCATTGCCTATAGTTCACCTGTTGATCCCTTGTCCCTGGGTTGGTTGACAACCCCCATTCCTTTCTGCCACCTCCCCTTTTTCCATGCCCCCCCCAACCATCGGTCCCATTGTTTTCATCTCTGCATTGTTTATTCTGCCTATCTTACGTAGATAGGCATGCAGAGACATTAATAAGCGCAAAAAAAACCAGGCAAAACCAAACAAAACAACAAAGAAAGACAGTTCTGACTCATGGTGACCCTACCAGGAAGTGTAGAACTGCTCCCTGGGGTTTCCAGGAACAGAAAGCTTCATCTTTTTCTCACAGAGCATCTGGTGGATTCAAACTGCTGACCCTGTCGTTAGCAGCCCAATGCATAACCAACTACACCACCAGGCTCCTTTGTCAAATTTCCTTCGCTATTTCCTCTTCTTTGGGTGAAAATAGCAAAGAAAATTGGAAAAATTGAATAGTGGGGGAGGGGCTTTTGGTAAAATGGCAGTCTAGGCATCTACAACAGACAAGAAAGACCAAATGAAAAGGATACAGAGGATAATCCTGGAACCCTGAACTTCAAAGAACAGGTTCAAGAAGTTAATTAAATACCAACTAAGACGTGAACCTGAACGAGACACAGAGCAGCTGAAATGTCAACTGGCCTGAGACAGCTCAGCCATCTTGAACTTTTGCAAGCAGCCTTTCATCAGGACATCAGCCAGACAGGAAACGAGCTCACACCTGCGGCTGGAAATAGAAAGATGGGATCCTCCCCTAGCACCCTATAATCTCCTGGTGACCAGAAGCACAGCAAGGCCCCACCCTAACCCACTCAGTGACCAATGACACATCCTGCCTTCCTGGATCAGGCTCCTGGTGCCACACCTCTTGTCCGGATATGCACGAACTCCACCTCAGACAAGCAGAACTCAGAGTGCTAGGCAAATGGTCTTTTCCTGGCCAAATCTGGCCGGGCAAGAACTCCTATAATCACCACTCTATGCCCAGCTGCCTTCTGAGCCCTAAAGAGTTCCCGTTGCTGCAATATAGCAACGATGAAAAATACAACTTTCCTCTAGTTCCTAAATGCTTCCTCCCCACCCCCACCCCCACTATCATGATCCCAATTCTACCTTGCAGGTCTGGCTAGACCAGAGGATGTACACTGGTACAGATAGGAACTGGAAATACAGGGAATCCAGGGCAGATGAGCCCTACAGGACCAGTGGTGTGAGTGGCAATACTGGGAGGGTAGAGGGAGAGTGGGTTGGAAAGGGGGAACCGATTACAAGGATCTACATGTGACCTCCTCCCTGGGAGATGGACAACAGAAAAGTGAGTGAAGGGAGACATCAATCAGGGCAAGATATGACAAAATAATAATTTATAAATTATCAAGAGTTCATGAGGGAGGGGGAAAAATGAGGACCTGATGCCAGGGGCTTAAGTAGAAAGCAAATGTTTTGAGAATGATAAGGGCCATGAATGTACAAATGTGCTTTACACAATTCATGTATGGATGGATTGTGATAAGAGTTGTATGAGCCCCTAATTAAAAAAAAAATTTTTTTAAGAGTTCCCTCTGGGAACAAACATCCTAATCTCAGCAGCCTTCTGAGCCTGCACAAACTACTTGAATATCTGGGGCCCTGACCCCAGATAATACTAGGACAGCAGGAACTCTGTCTAGGAGCAGGCATCCCACCCCCGCACCTCTCATCTTCCCATCCCATGAGCTCCTTGGCTGGCAGAAAGCACTAGACCCTTACTGGGTGCCCTGCCCTACAGGGTATTCTCCTTTCTTTGTTTCTTCTTTCCCTCCCTCCCTTCTTTTTTTCCCTTCTTAGTTCCCACCCCCACCCCCAACTGTTTTCTGTTCATGTCCTACTTAGTGTTGTTGCTTGTGGGTTTGTCTGTTTTTTGCCATCCCTTGTTTTTATTTTCCTTTCCTTTTTAGTTATGAATTTCTTTATCCTTGCTACTTGTTTTACTGCTTTCCTTCACTTGATTTCTTGATGTTTTTTTGTTTTGTTGTTTTCCTATTGATTGCCTACTTTCCCCTGCTTATTGTTTTCTTTTCTTTATTATTTCCCTTTTTGATTTTGTTTGTTTTCTCTCCTACCTAAAGGGAAACAGCAAGCTTGTCCACACAACCTAGCCACATCCAAACCTCCTGCAATCCTACCTACTAGACAAGGGTCACTACTTGCTCCTGTGCCATCTGATCAAAAATGGACAGCAGCTAACACTAGCCAAACTTGCTCTGAACCGCACAATGCCAATAGCAAGCAGCCGAAAACTGTGTACACCCTCACATTCTCTATTACACTTACTAGGAGTTTTTTAATATCTATGCACTCAATGAAAGAGCCTCAAAACACATCAACTGATTGATCTCTAACAGTATTGAAGAGAGAAATAGACAATTCTACAATAATAGTAGGAGACATTAATACATCACATTCAACAAAGAAGAGACCTAGAAAGAAACTCAACAAAGACACAGAACTAAACAATACAATCAGCTAATGTGACCTCGTAAACATGTCTAGAACACTCCACCCTACAACAACACAATAAGCATTGTTTTCCAGCACACATGGAACATTCTTCAGAATAGACTATATGTTAGGCCATAAAGCAAAGCAAGTCTTAATAAATTAAAACATTGAAATGTTGCAAAACATCTCAGATCACACTGCTGTAAAACATAGAAATCAACTATGGAAAGGTAAAGGGCTAAAAAAAATCAAATTGAATAATATCATTCTTATAAACTACAAAAGTAATAATAACTATAGAATGAGAATAGATAAAATTAAAAATGAAATTGAAAAATTCCTTGAATCAAATGAGATAGAAAACACAACATATGAAAATCTTTGGGAGACTTATATTAATAATCTTATAGTAATAAATGCATTCATCACAAAAGGAGAGACAGAAGCAAAATTTTTAAATATTTTTTTAAAAGGAGAAAGAATCAGATTAGCACCTTAACCTAATATCTTCAGAATTTTACAAGAAGAGCAATGTAATATGCCTTGTCACCAGAAGAAAAGAAATAATAAAGATTGGAGCAGAAAACATGAAACGGACAACAGAAAAGCAATAGAAAGAATCAATAAGACTAGACGTTGGTTCTTGAAAAGATTCATAAGCTGGAAAAACACAACAAATTTAACAAAGAAAAACAGTAAAATTAAAATAACACAAATAATAAATTAAATGGGTGATGTCACAACAAAACCAACAGAAATAAAAAGAATGGTAACAGAACATCATGAAAAACTGTACTGCAACAAATTTGGAAACCTAGAAGAAACAGACACATTTCTAGAAATACATTACCTACCTAAACTAACACAAAATGAATTAGAAAATTTGAGCAAATTATAAGAAAAAAAAAAGATCAAGTCACGAAAATACTCACAACAAAAAAGTCTAGACCCAGACAGCTTCACTGGTGGATTCTACCCAGCATTTATAAAGAGCTGACACAAAATCTACTCAAACTATTCCAAAGACTACAAAAGGATGGGATTGTCTCAAGTTCATTTTATGAAGACAGCATGACCTTGATACCAAACCCAGGCAAATATATCACTAAAAAAGAAAATTATAGACCAATAGCCTTCAAGAACATAAATGCAAAAAGTATCTACAGAAGGCTAGCCAATTGATTACAGCAACACATATAAAAAAATATTACATCATAACCAAGTGGGATTCACACCAAGTATTCAAGGATAGTTCAACATTAGACACACATGTATTCTACCACATAAATAAACCAAAGAGTTGGAGGGGGGGCACATAATCATATTGATTGAGG